TGGTGACGTTGAACGTCGGGTGACAGGCTCTGCCTTCACCCTACAGAAGTCACCAGCGTCCTTACTCAGTTACTGTAGATACCGCCCTTCACCGAGCCTTTTGTGATGCGGGGCCAACAAGGTGTTGTACTTCATTCAATTCCTTCAAGGAACCATGGTTATATTCATAACCTTACATTCCTTTTCAGTCATTTCACTCAGTACAACACACAGTTGTATATGCGCCCTCGCGCGCCTGGCTGAAGCCACCTCTAATCACGTCTTTAGACCGGTGACGTGGTGACGTTGAACGTCGGGTGACAGGCTCCGCCTTCACCCTATAAGTTCGGAGTCACCAGCGTCATTACTCAGAGAGATACCGCCCTTCACCGAGCCTTTTGTGATGCGGGGCCAACAAGGTGTTGTACTTTGTTCCATTCCTTCAAGGAACCGTGGTTATATTCATAACCTTACATTCCTTTTCAGTCATTTCACTCAGTACAACACACAGTTGTATATGGGACTTGTCAAAGCGCCCCGCAGAGCAGTATCAGACATGAGTTAAGTCGTGTGCCTGAGTAAGTACTGTACTAATGCAGAGCTTTGGACCCTGCAGAAAGTACAGAATGAGCCACCGAAGGTGCTGTTACATTAAGGCTGTAAAATCGTGCAAATGTGTTTGGTGAGGCCCAGCTGGCYGCGGCACAAATGTCACTCACAGGTACMCCTTTCAAAAGGGCCCAAGATGTCGCTACACCCCTACAGGAAGGGTTCACTGACAGAGCGTGGAGGTCCCCGACCTGTTTAGCTGTAGCTAAAGCCAGAAGCAAAGCAASTTTATATGAAAGAAACTTCAACTCTACAGACTCTAGAGGCTCAAATGGRGGGTCGCAGAGARCCTCAAGAACCACAGTGAGGTCCCAAGAGGGAATACTGGGTTTAATAGCAGGCCGTAGCTTACGAACCCCTTTCAGAAAACGCACGGCTAAAAGATGAGCACCAGAAGTGACTCCATCAAAACCTAAATGGYGGGCAGAAATRGCTGCTAAGTAGACTTTAATTGTGGAGAAGGAGAGCCCTTTATCCAGTAGCTCCTGAAGAAATGTTTAAAACATCTACTGCACACTGAAAAAGGTCCAGGTGCCCGTTCTTACACCATCGCTCAAAAGCTTGCCACTTATAGGAATATAATCCTCTAGTGGATGAARCTYTTGCGTTTTGGATAGTTGCTATTACTGCTGGAGAAAGGCCTTTGGCTAATAAGCTGGACCTTTCAGCAGGTAAGCATGCAGCTTCCATAGTTCTGGGTGTAGGTGAAAAATCTCCCCCTCTGCCTGACAGAGGAGATCTCATCGAACCGGAAGTTGCCAGGGTTGAGCTGCTAGCAAGCTGATTATCTCGGCGTACCAAGACTTCGCTGGCCAGCGGGGTGCCACTACGATCAAAGACAGGCTCCCCACCCTTTCAGGGAGGCGTCTGTGGACACCACTTTGCGAAACGACACCCTCCCTATTGGAGAACCCTGATACAGGCGGCCAGGTTCCCTCCAGGGGCTGAGAGCC